TTATTTTATTTTTGTTGTTGTAATTAGAGGATATATCTTATACCAATAGATTTAATCAATTTTTAAAGATGATTTTTCCAGCCAAATTATTTTGGTATGTGCACGATGGATAGCCGGTATTTATTTGTTGATGGGATCATGTATATTATTCCTTCTAACTTCTTCGACATCATAACCCATTCTCTTGCTTTTATTTTTTTGTTTTGATATTTAACAATGTAATTGCATGTAAACAGATAGCAAGGCCGAAGAACCAAAGACGGAACCAGAGACTACAAAACTAACGAAAGAAGAACTTCTGAAAGAACTTCATAGCAATTATTTTTTTTATCTGTTCCAGGGCCCTTACAGTCCTAAGGGTATGTTGTTTTGTGTGTGTGTGTGAATAAAAGAGATGGTCTAGCCTCCGCCTTCCTAATTCTATTGGGATGCTCTCTAATTTAGAGACAAGAAAGAAAAATATATATGCAGGGTTCTCTATTTTATGACATAATATCTATGCATTTGTTGTTGTTCTATGTCATGTTGAAAACAACTCGTAAGTTAAAAAGATGATTTCTCTAGCCAAGTTATTTTGGTGTTTTCATCAAGCATAACCAATATTTAATAATATAGTTATTTGTTGATGGGATCATAGATGTTATTCCTTATAACTTCTTTGCATTATCACCTTCTTCTTTTTCTTTTGTATTTTCACAATGTAATTGCATGGAAACAGTGAGCAAGCCTGAAGAATCACAGCCTAAAGAAGAATCACAGCTTGAAGAATCAGAGAATGATGAATCAGAGAATTATGAATCAGAGACTGATGAATCCGAGGATGAAGAAATTGGTATGCTTTTGATTTTGATTTTTTTGAACAAAAGCAATAGTCTAACTATATTATTGGTAAGCGATAGCCTCTTCAGTCCTAATCTTATTGGTAAGCTTTGGATTTTAGGGGCAAAAAAGATGTGCATGCACCTTTTATATTTACATTTTTTTCTCTCTCTTATGATATAATATCTATGTATTTGTTGTTATTTTATGTAATGTGCTTGTAATACTGATTTTTGGGTTTTATCATCTTCTTTCATTTATTGTCTTTAAAAAAAGATTATTTTTATTGTTTTCATTGTATTTAACAATGGATCTACAAATTGCACACAGGTGAATGTAAGTATTGTTTAAAGGTGGGTGACCACCATACAGAACTATGCTCTTACATTGATGAGGTCCCAGAGAATGCAATTGTTGGTGAGAGTTGTGTGGTTACATGTCTTGTATGTGGCTGCTTCTTTAGAGACTCGCGTTGTGCTAATTGTGGCATAACCCTAGGACGTGCACTCTTCAAGGATTGTTTAATATGTGGGAAGCGAGGTGAACACATGGAATTTGAGTGCCCGGAACTTGAGCCGAATCCTGATTTTTCTTTCGACCCTTATGGTCGTTCTTTTATGGTCGATATTCGCCCTTAATTGTACTCTAGAGTTGAAGTAAGGGAGAAAGAAGTGTTTTTTTTTATGTCGTTTGCCATAAATACCATGCATCCTAATATTTTGATGTCTACATCGTGTATTGTTTTTGTCACAAATGAATTGCAATTTGCATAACATGGTCTATTATATTCTTATGCTTGAACTAGTTTTTATCTTATGATTTTGTTTTTCTCATCTCTAACTGGGTTTATTTTCTGGTGTTGTGTGTGTGTGTTGGTGTTTTATTTAAATAATCATGTTATGTGAATATGGGGTCTTAGTTTGAAATTGAGTTTTGGGGTTTATTATTATTGATAAGTACATGATAATAGTGGCAGTATGAATGTTGTTTTGAAGGAGATTTAACTATTGACAGGCTCAGGTTGTGATGCCAAACTTAAATTGTTAGAGTGGGTGGTAGAAGTTCAATGGTATCATTTTGTTTGTTTGACTAGGTATCTTTTGTTTGTTTAATACCTAGACACCCAGTGAAGTTCAGATCAAAAAACAAAAGCCCATGAACTTTAACCCAACAATACAAACATAAAAAAACAAAAACAAAAAACAAGATTCTCTTTTCTTCTCTCTCCAGCCAATCCAAAAACAAAACCAACACAAACATAAAAAAAGACTTTCAGATATTAAAAGAAACCTTTATCAATTCGAGGTGTTTAGATGTCACATGCAATAGAACGCTCAACTTTGATCGAATTAGAACGCTTAACTTTGTTATTCTCTTGGTCATATTTGTTGTTTGTGCTGTCTCTTGGCAGGATGGAAAGGTGGCTGATACATTAGAAGGTGCAGATCCATCTAGTTTGGCTAATAAAGTTGCAGTTAAGCCTGAAGAACCTGCTCCAGAGTTGACAAAAGAAAATGAATCTTCCCAAGAGCAAATTGAAGCGCAAGATGTGTTGGGAAAGATGACGAAAAATCAAAGAGCCAATAAATAATATGGCACTCCCAGAATCTGACTTCTCCTAGCCTTGTGTAAATAAAATAGACAAAATTAACACTCTATCTTCCACTAAGAAAAAATAATGGGAATACAATAATAATCTCACCAAACACCGGTGGCTAAACTCTCTCTTGGTTTTTCTCTCAAGAGGATTTTCTCTCTCACACAAGTGAGGTTTTCTTATCTCTCAAAACTCTCTATGTTTTGGTTTTCTAAAGGATGATTTGAACTGAAGGAAGGCAGCTGCTTTTATAGCCAACGTTCCTGACAAATTGGTGGCCTTGCATGCGAGAGAGTTTTTCTCATTTTTTCTTCCGTTTGTTTTCTTCAATTTTTCCTGTCCTTTCTTTTATTTTATTTTAATTAAAAAAAGACTTTCAGATATTAAAAGAAACCTTTATCAATTCGAACTACTATCATGTCACATGCAATAGAACGCTCAACTTTGATCGAATTAGAACGCTTAACTTTGCTAAATAAGAAATGCTTACTTGGCCACTATTACCACATATCTACTTTGAAGGGAGGGCTCGTGGTTTTCGTCACATAGGAACTCTAATGAAAGGTTGCCCATCTGATCCAAATGTGTTTGGATAGATTACACAATAGAAAAGTTGCACAAGAGAAAGCACTGAACATTTGCAAAATGTGATTTTGATAGAAGAAAAGATATTGAGGCATTTGCAATGTAATGTTTTGATTCTTGAAGTGTTTATTTGCCTGGCTAATTTCTGTTTCTTTTATGGGTTACTTTCTTTTTTGAATAGTACACTCTGTTAATGGACAACAGGGCAAGTGGCTTTGAGATATTAACCAATTGATCAATGGATAATGAATCTGTTTCAATATAATATATTCCATCAAGAATTTTTAATAGGATTACTTTCTCGACGTGAAATGAATATATAATGTACACTAAATTGTGAACCTGAACTATTATCTAAATGTCACTTTGCTCTCTGAATTCCTTTTTTTAAATTCTATAGTGGTGCCTCAACTATTACTACAAGTTTTACCAAACAAAAAACGTTCCAATTTGCATGAACAAATTTCTGCGTATATACCAATGCATTTTGTATACCCATGAGCATATTTCTGTGTAGATGATGGTGAAGAACCCGTCAAGAAAGAAGTTGTAGGTTTGCTGGTTTGTTTATGAATTCTACCGAGTATCTGACTTCCTCTGTTTTGGCTCTGCATTGCAAATGAGTGTCATAATGGACTTTAATTTACTCTCTTTTACAGCAATATCAGAAAAACTGCAGCCTGCTTGCTTACCAACATTATTGGATAACCAGCAAGGACATCGTGACGCCTCACAGGGTCATTTATGGAGCAAGCATGTGCAAACAATAGTTTCGAATTAGACGATTGTCCGTCATACATTTCTGAAACCACATTACAGCTCTACATTATTGTTTTGGCACCAAATGGTTGATTTCGTTTCATTTATGAAATGCGTAAATAAGCAGTTGAGGTAAAGGAGGGAAAGATTGTTTCCATTGTTAAAGAATAAGAAAATCATGGAAAATCCAAGGTGGAGAATGTAATTGATTATGGAGAGGCTGTTGTCAAGCCTGGCTTGATTGATGTGCAAGATACCACAATTAATTTTCTCACTGTGGTCTTTTTCTATATAGTCACAAGGGTTTTCATTGGTATACAAATGCCTTGATTTGGGGGTGGGGGGAGACGTGCAGAGAAGGGAGAAGAAGAGGAAAAAATGTATGTACTTATGAAATCAAATCATCCGTTCTAGCTAATTTTGCTAAGCTCATATTTGCATGTGTATTGCTGTCTAATTCAGATTGTCTTCCTCTTCAACAAGAGAAAATTTGTCAAATGTGATTTGTTTTTTATTTTTCAACAACAACAATGTATTATAAAATTTGAATGGTCTATGAAATTTGAATTTATGACTTTTTTAAACAAAAATTTGACAATGTGCCATTATAATTGTAAAAGTGGAGAGCATTTGCTCACCACTTTAACCCATGGTGTATCATTACCACCCTTTTCAATACTTGACACGTGTCCATATGAACAAACAATAATCTTTGTTGGGCTATCGGCATCTGGGATGTAAACAAACAAATTGAGTACACGGACAATTATCCCAGCCTATGTAACATCCCAACCCAAAATATAATCATTCGTGAATTTAATCGATTTCATAAAATATGAAATTTCAATTTTGCCCTCGGGGGTAGGTAGGCTCGAATCAGAGTTATAACGAAGAAGTTACGATTTAAACAAACTCAGTGGCATAATCGTAACTATTTCGAAGTGGATTTTAAAAAAAATATGATTTCTCATCTCTCTCTCTCTCTCTCTCTCTCTCTCTCTCTCACGAGAATCCCTTCCCCCCTCGGATTTTTTTTTTCTTCACAGCTGGCGGCTCCAAGGGCCACTGCAGCCGACACAGGCCACAGTTGGCCACGGGACCGGACCCAACTGGACCGGCTCCTCTCCCCCGTCCTACCCCACCCCTTCACGACCGCTGGAACAATCGGCATTTGCTAGAAAAGCGAGTTTTTGGCTGAATTTTTACGTAAATTTCACGGAGCTCGTTTGAACGTTTTAGGCAACCAAAAATGTTGCAATCTAGGTATTGTTTTCTAAACGGTTGCGTTATACTATATTGATTTCAACTGTGATATAAACTTGTTATTGTTAACTCACACTTTTCTGTTTTGTGTCCCCCAGCCAGTAGTTGACTGAACTAAACTGAATTGGGTCGCGAGCTTTCGAATCCCGAGCTTTCATAGAACTCTTTTATTCTTTTCTCTATGTTGAACTTCTATTTCATTTATAAACTAAATTCTTAGATTGCTCTATTATCGCCTGTACTACAGTTTGATTTGTGAGGCCGGATGCCTTTGTTGTAAACTGTTTAATCGTTTTCTAAAGCATGCTGCCTGTTGGGATATACTTAAATGTGTTTAACATGTTGAAAATTTTGGGAAATGTTCAATTTACAAGAGAGACTCTGCCGAAATTTCGACAGAAAGTCCCTTTCTTTAGTAGGTGGGCTATAAGACAGGATTCGTCAAGGATTTTGAGGAATCCGGGGCGGGTCCTGTCATCCTAAATACTGAGCTCATGGAGAGATGGTTTTCAGGCCAGCCCAAGTATTCTATGAACGAGGATATTGTTTCTATCCATCAAAACTTTGGATTCAAAAGTCGAGCTTCTAGTCTATTACCAATTTTTGGGTCAAACAAAACACAACCTTGGTGGCACGAAGAGACAACGAAATTAAGCAAGACATGGTCAAGTATCTGTGTTTGGGGTTCTCCCCTCCTATTTCATCAAAAAAATAAAAAACTGTTTGACCCAAAAAAAAACTTACAAAGATGGACAGTGCTACTTTTGCATGAGGGATAGTCCCTGACATTACGGTGGACATTGGCCTGGGGCTTTGAGTTGAGAGTTTTTATAAAAATAGCCAAAATTTACTTCTTCTTTTTTTTAAATGTCGCTTTTATAAAAACTTTTAAATATAGCCAAAAACTCATCTAAATAGACACAAATACCCTTAAAACAAAGAAAGGGAAACATTTGAAAACTAAATAAATTAACTCAAATTTTACTAACTCAGAATGCCTTGCCTTTTCTTTAAGACAAAAAAAGAAAAAAGAAAAAAAAAAGAGTAAGGGACACCTGAATTTGTGGCTTACCTAATTAGCTTTGCATGTAGACTTGCAAGTATAGCCCTATACTTGCTCTTTTTTAAAAAAACATTGGAAAAAACTGAGTATAGCCGAACGACGATACTATTTCTTAAAAAAAATTAGCAAAAGCAGTATAGGTGCAGGCTACAACTATTTCTTAAAAAAATAAAAATAAATAAATAAATAGACAAAGCTAGTTTAGCCGCGTGACTATACTATTGCATTTAAAATAAATTAGAAAAAGCGAGTACAGCCGCTCAACGATACTATTTCTTTCTTAAAAAAAAAATGGAAAAAACCGAGTATAGACATGCGGTTATATCATTTATTTTTAAAAAAAAAATTAGAAAAACTAGATGGTTTGGATTGTTGAAAAAAAAAATTGTAGGGGACCCTACTCAAATAAAATTATTT